ATATATTCCTATTTCAAACTCTATCCTTATATTTGCAGTTACACAAAATTAAACTTTTTAAAACAACGTTTTTTTAAGTAAGCCAAGGTTAATGACTTTAAAATCAATTAAAAACTTTCCAGCAGCTTCCAAAAGTTGTTTCTCGTCGACTATTAAGCATTAAATTCGAGGGAAGTGTCCAAACTACACCATGACAATATCTCATTTGTCTACTATACTTTAGTTTATAAATTATACATCCAATTACTCTTCGATGAACAAGAGAGAGTCGACGATGTTATAAAACATGTGTCAAGAATTACGAATAAATGCAACATCTGTTTCTAGCATGCTTTCTAGGTTATTTTCAATGTTCTTTAAAGTATTTCAATCGTTTGAAAATCATACATAGGTGCAATTTTAAATAAACATTCAATTTTCTTAGTTTCTTTAAGAAACTTTCTTGACCCATCACTGGTAATATTCATAAGAATAATTTTAAATTTTAAAAATAATTTTATACTAAAATAAGTTGTTAATGGTTTTATAACAAGTCAAATAACGTTATTCGAACAAAACCAAATTCTTTCGAAAATAACCAAGTTATAACTTGGTTATTTTCGAAAGAATTTGGTTTTGTTCGAAATTTTTATTTTTGCATATACTTTATTTGTAAATTCTGACACGCCTATTATACCTAAAAATATTATAATATATAGTTATTTATGTCATAAGGCTGAGAAGTAAGTCTATTTGTGGTGAGTTCAAACTTTGAGCGAAGCACAAAAATGGTATACAACATTTTATCTTCAAGACACAGTTTTATTTATGAAAGTATTCATAAAACGTTTTTATTATAACAATTATTAAAAGTTTAAAGTGAGTGAAGATAGCTTTAGATGAGTCAGCATTTATCGAATTTTGTATTGGTCCTAACCGGTCTTTTACAGACTAGAATGTAAAAAAAAGCTTACTTGATTGGTCTAAATTATTTTTACAGCCTAGGAGATAATCCAATACTTCGGTAGTTAGCGTTGACAATAATAAAACTTAAATTATAGAATGTTAAAAGATAAAATATATCATAGCATCGTGATGTCACGTTACCGGCAAAATTCAAGTAAGCACTAGTTGTTAAAGTGGGGGTCATTTGCGTCTGCAACCACCTTAAAAGTGGTCGAAGACCAATATTTCCTATTTAAAATAAGACCCAAAAACAAAAGGTCTGATCAACACTATAAATGTCCAGCCTGCTGGTCCAGTCAGAGGCAAACATGTCCAACCAAATAATCACACGTTTCCATTTAGTCAGGTGTCATCGAGATGACAAACTTAAAAGAGTTATTGTCAAATCTTTTGTCAATGCAGTGCTAAGCTTTTTTTTAACAGAATTGTTGAATTTTTTATGTAGTTTCCGAAAATATCCTTTTTGACAAAATCGCAAGGGCCAGAAAAATTTATTATGACCATGTAGTTTTAGAAATAGTGTATCAAGTGTTAGTAGGAGTACAAAATGCTACACGATTCTGTTCAGAAGAAATGGCTTATCAAAAATTTACCCTTTAGCTATGTCGCACAGTGGGAGGAATTTCAAAAATCGCGAACAAATTTAGGGACACATTATTTTATACTATTTTAAGGTTTATGTGGTAGTAAATTTATGCTTAAATATTAATATTGATAAAATGTTTTAATTATGTACAAAAATTCACAAAATTTGTATACACAAAGAGTTCGGTTTTGTCGATCTTCCATTCATCAAAAATATTAATTAATAAACAAATAGATTACGCAATACTACCCCTTTATAGGTTAATGGTCTCTATGTTAACCACATCCATTACAGCTTACTTAGAAATGAGAAAGAACCCAAACTTCGACCAAAGTACAAATAAATGAACTCATAATGTGCAGTGGCTATCATATTGACCACAATTTAAATTTGGCAATTGTTAGAACCAATGTGGTCTCTATGTTAACCATTGCCTGTTCCCACAAAATTGCGCTAGCGAGCATAAGCATGTTTGTTTTACCTGAGAACACACATAATTTAAAAGGTAATTGAATGCTTTACAACTTGTGATAATAGTACTTGGAAAAGGTTAGCGCTAACGAAATATTTAGATCGTTTTGAAACATAACCTCTATCAAGCTCACATACCGTGAGACTATTGAATCCATGCTTATAAACGTCAGTATTTTTTGGTTTTTTGAAAAATTGGATTCAAGTAAACTATTTTATCTAGTTGTAACCGAAGATCAGGCTATGGATTCGGAGATTGAGGGCGATAGCCCATCAAGAGTCCCCAAGTACTTTTCGTCTGAATTCACCAAGTACATCTTCATGTTTACAAGTTACTTCTGCCAATACTTCAGCACGATCCAGCCTACGTAATCGTAGTGAGCGAACATCCAGTATATATTTCAGAAAACAAATTTTGAATAGATTTGGGGGTGAAAGTGACTCTGATGCAGATGTTCTTTCAGATGACTTAGTATCGCGATTACTCATCAGATTCAGAGAAAATAAAAATATGAATCACAGAAATGCCACTGTAACTTACTCACAAACACAAGAGTAGGTAGAATCAAAAAATGAAGAAACTTTGAGAAATTGAAGTTTACTAAAACCGTTTCCAGATAAGAATAATGACAGTGAACAATTTGGAAATAAATATTTGATTTTTATAGCATACACCATGTAATTATTTTACCTGGTCCTAGAAAAAAAACTAAAATCCTTTCAGAAACGCAAAAAAATTTAAACATGTGGTTTGCATTTAGACCACCGCCCATCTATCATCTTATGGGAAGTGGTTTCCATTTTATCCATCATGATAAATTAAAAAAAACAGTTGGATTTTCAAAATAATCATTAAAATAAGTTAAGATATCCAAAATAGGTAGGTCTTACCAAAAAAAATTAAAATAACAATTAATGGATAAAGGGCTACCTAGGCTAAAAATAAAAAAGCAAACAAAAAAACAATTACAATTAAGGAACATTCGAGCAAAATCATCCATTTTTTTCGGTACATATTTTCTTTGTCAATTTCGCATCTTTAGCTTGGTCCAAAAAAACCCTATATCGATGTTAAAATTACATTTAAAAGTTGATTTTAGAGCTAAACCGGTTAAATCCACGTTTTTTACCTAACCTAGCCGGAGGATTTACTGAAAAATACGTTTTTACCTTGTAAAATAACTTCTGCTGACGTTTTAGAACTAGAAAAAGGCAACTAGGATGACTCATAAATAATCGACTAATATGATAAATCCATATCCTGCTGACCAAACAGAGAAAAAGAGGCAGCTAAATTCTTTTCCCTTTTAAAAAAGAAAATTTGATGAACGATCTGGTACCAAATACTTTGCCTCGCAACAACACACACCTAAAGAAATATCTTCTGGTTTGTAAAAGATTCATGTTCGTTGAAATGGTAAAAGGTTTAGAAAAACCTTATTTTTGGTAAAATTTGTAATTTTAGACTTTCATATGAAAGAACAAGGATAAGGAATGTTGTAAAATATGCTTTAAAAAACCGACACGAACAATGTTACTTTTTAAGCAAATTTAAGCGGTTTTGTAAATAAATCTGTTTGGATTAAAATTGCACTTCCCTGCTGTAATATTTTATTTTAAAAACCGACCGGTTTCGTCTTACGGCATCTTCAAGGTTTCTACAAGAGGTACATAAATAGATATTAGATATATATATATATATATATATATATATATATATATATATATATATATATATATATATAGGTTAAGCATACTTTAAAGTTACTTTAAAGTATGCTTAACCTATATATATATATCTAATATCTATTTATGTACCTCTTGTAGAAACCCTGAAGATGCCGTAAGGCTAAACCGGTCGGTTTTTAAAATAAAATATTACAGCAGGGAAGTGCAATTTTTAATCCAAACAGATTTATTTACAAAACTAAAGTACCACTGCTTAAATAGATTACCTAATTAAACAAATTTAAGCGGGCATTTTATCATACAAAAAAATATTTTTTTAAAATCATAATCTCTGGGCGTTCTTTTTTTATAACTCGCAATTTAAAATTTGCTATGTTGATTGATTTTCACAAAATAAGGTTTTGTCCGCGATTTTTGAAATTCCTCCCAGTGTGTGTCGGTCTGCTGGTAAATCACTCGGTATAATGAAGCATAAAAATAGCAACAATATATACCAAAATTGTTAATCAAATTTTAAATAACTAATTTATTGAAGTTAGTTAGTAAAAATCTTGCATCTAGCAATAAAATATACAATTTCAGACGCAAGTCCCATTTGATTTAAATATTAAAAATTCCTCGCTATTTCCACAAACGTGGTCGGGTTAAATTTATGATAACTTCGTGTAATTCCTACAAAAGTTTTATTGTTTTAATGGTTTTGTGCGTTTAATATTTTAGGCATGATCCAGGGAAACTATATTTAAATAAAAGGAAAATCGATTTTTTAATTGTATTTTATTTGTTAATTTTACCACATGATATACCCACACACATTGTTTAAAACAATTTGTTTTACTTAATAAAATAACCAGCTTAACTTTTGTAAAAAATACTTTGCTGTATTTGTTTAAGCTCTAGTGATATATAACAAAAGTGAAAATCCTGAACACTTATCTGTAGAAACTCGAATAGAGCTTTACATGGAATATCAAACACAAAAAGGATTATTCCAAACTGCTCTTGCCGAAAGCAAAATTTATTATTTTTAGATAAGGTTTTAAATGTTTTATTATGCTTAGGTGTATGCGAACGGTAGATGTGCTAATAGCAAACAACTAGCAATGCAACTCCATTTTATATTTATTTTACTATAAAACACACTTAGTTACAAAGTAATAATAATATTAATAATTAAAGTATCAAATACTTTAATGAAAGCTTCTAAGTAAACAATTATAATAATATTAAATATACAATTTGATGCTTTGTAGAAATTATATTGCATTAAAAAATATTATCAAACTAAATATATGTTTTTTTATTTTAGATGGCTGGGAGTCAAATGGACCATGGCTCTCTCGTTTGTTACCTACATGCCTTTCATGATAGCACAATTTTACCCAAAATTCTACACCATGATACCGGCAGGATTGGCAGTGGGGTTCGGAGGAGGACCCTTGTGGTGCGCCAAGTGCACCTATCTCACGGTTATTGCCGAAGCCTATTCCCAAGTGACAGGAATCGGTGCTGATATAGCAGTAACAAAGTTTTTTGGAGTATTTTTCATGTTCTATCAGTTTTCGCAAGTTTGGGGAAACCTCATTAGTTCCGCAGGTAAGTGCGAATACGAAAGTAGGGTAAAAATGTCTTAGTTATAAAACCTGTTTTATTCACTGTTCAAAATTTCATGACAATTTTAACACCAAATTAACACCATACATGGTACATACATATATCGATACAAACCAAAATGGTGGTAAATATGTTTCGTTGGTCCAGTGTAAATTTAAATAGGTACTAAAATAGTGTAAATTTAACTTTCACACAGTATTAAAATAAATTTTACCTGGTGTAAATTGAACTCCTATTCAGTGTTAAATATTATGTGTTTTTGGTCAAATTAAATATTACTACACAGAAAAAAGGAAACAGGAAGTTCCTTGACGCATTACTAGTATATTACCAGTGGTATTATTCCAGAAAATTGAACCTTCAACTCGCTGGAGATAATGTTTTTAGTGCGTTCCACCAACTTAAAACACTTAAGTATTGACAGCTGTTTCCACATATTTAAGGTCTCTTTAGTATCGAACAACTTGTAGTGTCACGCCAAAGCAAAGGACTACCTGAGATTATATACTCTTCATGTCAACAGAGGCGAGATTTAAGAACATCACCTGATCCACACCGCCTTTGCTGCGATCGGTACATACTATGCAACCAGTAATGCACGGCAAATTGTTTTAATCGTTTAGTAACTCAACATATTTAGTAAACTGAACCATACAGCGGGTTGGTTTCACTAAAGTTTTCTGGGTTAATTTAACCAATTAAAAAAAATAAAACAACTATCTGGTTTAGTACCGTCCAACTAATCTTTGTTTATATTAACCTTCCCACAGTTAATTTAAATAAATAGTTATGGGTCAACTAAATTAATATACCTAGTTAAATTAACTATTCCTTTTTTTTTCTGTGTAGGTGCACTTCTCAAATATTTTTAGATAAACACCGTTTTGGTGTTTGCTGTATATAACATTTTCAACCATAATTCATGGTGTTTATATTAACACCACTTGGTGTTGGATTTAGACACCATTTTAAGATTACCCTTTACACCACAGATATTTTAAACAGTGTATTGTATTGTAATACACAGATTGATGCCAAGACGCATCACTGACTCTATAAAAGGGGGGATTAAATATGAAATGATAATTTAATAACTTTGTTAATATTAACGATTTATAACTTTTTATATTAAAGTCTAAAAACAATTTAAATTTTTTATCAAAAATAACTCCCTACAAGGTGGTACAATGGGGGACACATCATTCCGTTAACATCAAAATCTAAACTGCCTTTATGGACAACCACCTTACTTCCTGTTATTCTTGTCATTTTGACAGCGAAAGCAAATATTTATAGAATCACACAAGGAAAACCAAATTATGATATTCAAAATTCGTCTTTTGTGCCTAATAAAACTAAAGTTACTAAAATGGCGTTTACAAAACTTGATACATAATATAATATTTTATATCCTTTAAATAAAAATTGACAAGCTGTTACCTTATGTAGTTTTAGTTACGGGCTGAAGTTAGCTTTAAGTTAGTTGACAGTTGTCAAATGTCATGCAATCGTCAAAATATAGTGCCCTTCTTGTGAAATAATACTAAATGTGGAAATTATTTAATTATTTCAATACAAAAATACATAACTATTAATTCTTGAAAAAGTTTATATGCACGTTTGTACTGACCTTTTGATGCCGGCAGTAAACTAGAAGTTAATAGTTTTGGGTGGAGTACCCATAAGAACATCACTGAAAGAAATATATGTTTGTTTTAGCAATGTATGTGGTAGTCCATATATGAAACATAAAATATATTTACCTTAACCATTTTTATATTTGCCTTAACCATATTATGTTAAAACTAAATATAAAAATGGTTAAGGTAAATATATTTTATGTGGTAGTCCACATACATTGCTAAAACAAACATATATTTCTTTCAGTGATCCTCTACACTTTAACTGTGAAAAACTTCTACCTATATTGGATTTAAACGGTTGATGGTTAATTTTTAAACAAGAAATTTCGATTTTGTAAGGAACATTTGACAAACCGACACTGACATTTTGAAAATCTGCAAAACAGATTCCTAACACCAATTTTGATTATTACTCTATTTTTAGCTAGAATGCGCTTTATAAATATTTTAATTTGTCGATTTATTATTTAATTTTTGTTTAAGATTTTACATTCAGAAAGGTAAATAATATTGTGAACCAAAAAATACACTTCAAATAACTCCATCCAATCAAAGAGACTTCGCTGCTTTACAACGTAATTATGTCTTAACTACATTTTCCACAGACAAAGGTCCGAATCGCAGTTTAAAGAGTTGTAGTGGTCCATTCTACTCGACTCTATTGGCCCAAATACATTTTAAGTGGTGACTATCAGGCAGGATTAATTTATTAAGCCTTTACCACAAAAGCAATTAAATTAAGATTTTTAACAAATAAAAATGAATTTTCAAATTCAAAGTTATATAATTATTTGGTAAAATAATTTAATTTATTATTGTTTAAAATTGTTTTGAACAAAATTTTTATGATTTGAAAATTTTGAAAATACTTTACGATTATATCTCTAAAAATATTATAATACCATTATAAAATTTATATTTTTTTAATGCGGCGCACAGTGGTCTGAGAGGCAAATTTACGCGGCAAAAATCCAATTTTTAAAACACTTTATTAACGCATTTTGATGCCTCTTTATTGTTCGTGACAGATTATTATCTAAGATTTTAAACTGCGAAGTAGAATTTACTGCGTATGCGTTGCGTTATAACAAATACATAAAAATATTATCAAAAATAGTCTTACTTTCGGAATCTTGTCTTTTTCGTGTAAAAAGGATGTTGCGGAAATATAGTAGTGAAAATTAGTGTCAAAAATTTATATTAGGGATAAAGTTGAGTACAAATACAACTTTAAAATGTCTTTTTGGATTTTTTGCCAAAAATATAGCGTTTTTAACCTACAAATTATTAAGTTTTGTAATTACAAATAATAAATGGAATATAAGTAAAAATTTATAATTACTTGCCCAGAACCACATAGTCCATTCGAAAATATGAACCTCCAGCTCCGACTTCATTAATCTACCTTTAGAGTTATGCAAAAATGAAAATTACCGCTAACCAGGTCATAAAAGTAATATATTTTTTTAAATTTGACAATAATAATTGCATTTAAGAAAGGTAAAACAATTTTCTTTACTCCTATTACATAATTTTTTTTTATATGCTTTGTATATTATGCAGTGTGCCCACGGATGGTAATGACAATAGAAAAAACTTTTTTATTAGGTATGATACGAAAAAAAACATGTTATTTAAAAACTCTTGCTTGTTTCAAAAATAAGATTCCTACACAAACATTTTGAATTAAATGTACAGGGTGCTCATAAACTAAAAAACCCAAAAAACTAGAAGTGCGTTTTGTGGAAACATGAATTCTTTTTGAAAATATTTTATGCTTAAAAATTAAGACTTTTATAAAAATATGAATTATATATGCAGGGTGCTCAGAAATTAAAAAAAATATATATTAAAATAAGAGAGAAATGTGGTAAGATATTCGTAACGGAATCGCAAAAAATCATTTTTCATAAAAACTTCTCCTTGTATTTAAAAATGAGATTGCTAACAAACATTTTTAATTAAATGTCCAGGGTGCTCAGAAAATAAAAAAACAGCAAAGTGCTTTAAGAGCGTTGTACAATAATTATTGTTCTATAGGAATCTCAACAAGCAAGAGTATTTACCGCATAATAAAAATAATAAGTTTTCCTATCGTCAACCATCACGATATTGGCTAAAGGGTTGTTAAAAAGAGATATGGTGAAATCTAAAATGTTGATATAATAATATATTTTTGATACTTTGAAGGTAATGGTTTTTTAGTTATTCATGATAAAAAATTATGCTTGCGCCATGTTGCAATCGCCAACATTGGCGATCGCCCCCTGGTACGAACATTTATTTATTTAATAAATAAATTATTAAATAAAAAACAACAAAAAAAAACAAAAAATACACAAATATTAAAAAAATTATTTTATATCATTTGGCTAGACTATACTGCCCTGTTAAGGATAGAGGTCGTATCTACAATATTGTGTAGTAAAGGACAGAAGAAAATTTAAATTTTTAAAAACAATAAAGAATAAAGTTTTTTCTTTACTACCACTAACTGCCGTTCGAAGACAAAACTTCATATCTGCAATATTTAGTAGTTAAGCAAAAAAGCCATATTTATCATTTTTTAAAATTAAAATTTGCTTCTGTCCTTTACTACAAAATATTGCAGATATGACCTTTAAGCTTAACACGGCAGTATATAAGAAGTAAATTTAGCACTCTTAAAAACATAAAAAAACACGTCTTGGGAAAAATATTTAAAGAATAATTTTTGCCGCGTAAATTTACCTCTCAGACCACTGTGCGGCGGCACATTCAAAATGTTTTTGTTATCAAGCATACAATTACAAAAAATAATAAAGTCACATTCATTATGATAGACGATGAGAGAAATGTTTTTCAAAATATTTTTTTCTAAATAAGCACAAATTTGCTAAAAATAAAACATGATAACATGAGATTTATTGAAAAAACTTGAGATCTTATGCAAAAGTATGAGCCCTGCAACATTGCACAGTAATGTTATATTCGCGTCGCTGTTCGCGATTTTCAGTACCAACCATACTGTACAACGAAAATAACTACATAGTGCATAATATGATGTCATCCGACAACACCAATATTACAAAAAGCATGTTTTTGATGGTAAAATTTGAAAATTTGATTAATTTCTGTTAAAAATAAGAATCTAGGTGAAATAGGTAAATTTACACTAGTTTAGGTAGTAAAATGTAAAATTAGGTCATCTTTAAAATTTAGGTGAAATAGGTAAAATAAAATCAGGCTTAAAGGAAATCATTTCCTTCAAACGGATTTTATTCCATTGCACCTAAAGTTATGATTAGCGTAGACAAATAGGTAATTACACTAAAATTCCATCTCTTGTAATCAGAAATC